TTTTCTTCAACACGTTTGATTTTCCTAATATGTCTTCGAGAAGGAAACCGCGACAACGCATCTGTCCGGGATGTCACACACAACAAGAAWATCACCAATTTGGCAAGATGCACAAAGCTTGCCAAGGACCAAGCAGCGATGGTGAAGATAGCGACCACGAGGTCAACATAGCTTCCACATCGAAGACTGATGGAGAGCTGCTCCAGGCAATAAGACTCNGGAAACAAAGTGACAGCCGACAAATGCCAGACACGAAACAATGCATCTATTGTGGAGGCAAACACAAACCAGTACGCAAGAACTGCTCAGCGTATGGACAAACTTGCAAGTCGTGTGGCAAGAAAAACCACTTAACTAAGATGTGCAGACAAGAAAAGGCGCACGCACTCAACGATGAAACGGACACTGAATCCAGCGATCCTGAGTACAGTTTCTCAGTATCAGTGAAACCGGAAACCATTAACAAAGTCGGCGCAGCACGTGGCAAAAACAAGCAAATCTATGCAAACATGATGATAGGAGAGCAAAAGGTCWAATTCCACGTCGATTGTGGTGCCACGGTTAACGTATTACCGAACAAATATGTTAACAACAACGAGATAAAACCAACAGAGAAAGTGTTGCAGATGTGGAACAAAACTGAGCTTAAACCAGAAGGAATGTGTCATCTAGCTGTCACAAACCCAAGAAACGGCCGGAAGTACGACGTAGAGTTCATGATTGTAAAACAGAACTTGACTCCGTTGCTAGGAACAACCGTCATACAGGAAATGGGTCTCATTGAGGTTCACAGCGATAACTTCGAAGCGATTTCTGATGTAAAAGAAAACAGTGAAAGGAAGACCGCTGAACAAGTCATCAAAGAGCACAAGGACGTCTTCGAGGGTGAGCTGGGGACGTTAGCGGGTGAGCAACACCTAACAATATACCCAACAGTGCCGTCCAACATTGCACCGTCAAGAAGAGTGGCATTTTCTTTGAAACCTAAATTGAAAGCGGAGCTAAATAGACTTACGGGGTTAGGCGTTATAGCTCCCGTTGATGAGCCTACTAATTGGGTTAGCAACCTGGTGGTCAAGACAAAGGACTCGGGAGAGTTAAGACTTTGCTTGGACCCCAAGCCACTAAACAAGGCGCTCAAACGAGAGCGTTATCCATTGCCTATCATTGAAGATGTGTTACCTGCTCTTGCTRAAGCGAAAGTGTTCACCAAAGTAGACGCCAGAAACGGCTATTGGCACGTGCAGTTGAACCRTGAGTCGAGTCTGCTGACAACGTTTGACACGCCCTTTGGACGGTATCGCTGGAGAYGGCTACCCTTTGGAGTCAGCGTCGCGTCAGAGATCTTCCAGAAGAGACTCAACCAGGCTCTAGACAGACTCGATGGTCTACTAACTGTCCACGACGATATGGTCATCTACGGAGTGGGGGACACCGAGGAAGAAGCAACTGAGGATCACAACAAAAAGCTAGCACAGTTCCTACGACTCTGCAGAGAAACAGGAGTGAAGCTGAACAAAAGAAAGCTGAAACTACTCTGCAAAGAGATCCCCTACCTGGGTCATCTCGTTACCGCAGAAGGACTAAAGCCAGATCCCGAGAAGGTGGAAGCTGTACAAAACATGCCAAAGCCGGACAACGTGAAAGCAGTAAGACGATTTTGCGGGTTTGTCAATCTCGCAAAATTCCTGMSACACCTATCCGAGGTACTGGAGCCTATCCAGCAGCTGACTCACACCGAAGTGGTMTGGRACTGGTCACATGAACATGACGCAGCCAAAGTCAAAGAGCTKGTCACGACAGCTCCGCTATTGAGGTACTATGACCCAGAAGAAGAGCTGACAGTGCAATGCGACGCCAGCGACAAARGATTAGGAGCAGCTCTGATGCAGAATGGACAGCCCGTCGCATTCGCCAGCCGTGCTCTCACTGATCCAGAGACTCGATATGCACAGATCGAGAAAGAGATGCTGGCTGTGGTGTTTGCTCTTCAGAAGTTCGACCAGTATGTCTATGGTCGCAGCGTGACAGTGGAGAGAGACCATAAGCCCCTAGCAACCATCGCAGTCAAACCGCTAAGAAGTGCTTCAAAGAGACTTAAGGGGATGTTACTGAAGGTCCAGAGATACGACGTCACAATTGTGTACAAACCTGGACCAGAGATGTACCTAGCAGACACGCTAAGCCGAGCGTACCTACCAACATCTGMCAACACCCAAGGCGAGTTCGAAAGGATAAACGCTGTAAAATACCTACCAATGACTGACGAGAGACTGGAGGAACTAAAGGCAGCCACAGTCAACGACGAGACTCTGCAACAGCTGAAGCAGATCATCCAGTGTGGTTGGCCAGAGGAGAAGAGGAACCTGCCAGCCATGKTCAGACCCTTCTACGGATACAGAGATGAGCTCAGCGAGTACGATGGACTTGTGTTCAGGGGCGAAAGGATCCTCGCCCCAAAGACGATGCGGAAGACAATGAAGGAACGTCTTCACAGCTCTCACACTGGAATAAATGCTTGCCTAAGGAGAGCAAAAGAATGCATGTTCTGGCCAGGCATGACGTCCGACATCAGAGAATATGTAGCTCAGTGTGAAACGTGTGCTGCCTTCACGGCAAAACAACAGAAGGAGACACTAATGAGCCATGACGTCACAGAGCGACCATGGGAGAAAATCGGTACAGACCTGTACACAATTGGAGGCAAGGACTACCTCGTGATTGTGGACTACTTTTCAAACTTCTGGGAAATCGAGCCCCTAAGCGACACAAAGGCATCTACCGTCATCAAGAAAGTGTCATTTCGCAAGGAATGGTATTCCGGATACTGTCATCAGTGACAACGGTCCACAGTTTGCTTGCGACAAGTTTAAAGAGTTTGCCACAGCATGGGGGTTTGACCACTGCCCTGGAAGTCCTGGACACCAGCWATCGAACGGAAGAGCTGWGGCGGCGGTGAAAGAAGCCAAAAGACTCCTAAAGAAGGCTAAGAAATCAGGAGGAGACATCTACCTAGCGCTGTTAGACCTCCGTAATACGCCAACAGAGTCTATGGACACCAGCCCTGCACAGCGACTTCTGGGACGWCGATGCAAAACCGGACTACCGACAACCAAACAGCTGCTGAAACCACAGACCATACAGCCAGAGAAGGTCAGAAGGTAAAACCAGCTGCATACTACAATCGAGGAGCTCGTGACCTAACCCCTTTGGAAGAAGGTGATGTGGTCAGGATGAGACCATTCCGGATCGRAAAGAAAGAGTGGGACAAGGGGACAATCGTCAAACGTTTCGACGAGCGATCGTAYCAAGTAGAGACGGACGAAGGAACCTATCGTAGGAATAGAGCTGATCTCAAACAGCAACAACTCAGCAACGACTCAGCAACTCAACGCGACTCAGCAACTCAACGCGACACAGCAACGACTGAACTCAACCCAACCCAGCAACAACTCGGCAACGCGGAACAAATCAGCAACGAACAAATCAGCTAATCAACTCGACTCGACAACGACTCGGCAACAAAGCACAACTCAGACCAAGGAGATCCATTAAAGAGCCAGCTTGGCTCAAGGACTTTGTCAAATAAAACAAAAAACAAAAAAAACATTGATTTTTGCCCAATGAACATTATCAGTATATTTCCAATATATTTTGATTTCTATGCAATGATCTTCATTTATTGCAATTTAGAGTACAATGTATACTAATCAGTTTCTTTACATTAATCCTCAAAGGAAGGGGGATGTTACGTGATTGACATTCTTGACTACATAATTGATATAGCACGTGATTACTACTCAAATATATTGTATTACTATAAGTCATYAAGGTACTAGGACTGGCAAAGCGTTCAAAAAATACCCAACTTTTTAATTAGATTCTTTTCGATACATATAATAACTAAGAGATGTTTTTAATCGTCAAAAGATTGAATTTTTATGAGAAAAACGACCCAGAACTTCGTATCCAGGTATGAATTCGCGGGAAAATATGATACTTTGTTTGTGAAACACGAGATAACGGCTTCTCAGCTTGATCATTTTAGAGGTCAAAGTACCAGCGTTCAGTACCTTGAACACGCGAGTATTCGGTTACAAGACCGCCTTATGCTGCTCACAATTCTCCAGTTTTTAATATAGTGGACATTTTCCATATAATTTAGCTAGAAATTTAGTCTAGAATCAAAACAATGAGTATTTTAAATGTTTTTAGTGATCATCTTTAAGTCGCAAAACGTCCGAGCTCGTGTTACTTTAAACTCCGCATGCTCAGTGTAGTGTTGCTATGGATTACATCATTTGTTTATCCAGATTTTCGCGGGAAGCCAGGAACGATTCGATTCCGATGAATTTTCGGCCTTTTCGACCACTGTTCGTCCTCAAATCAATACAAAGTCGTCAGTTGTTTTGAAATACAACACGAGGAACAAAATGGTCGCCATTTCTGAAGATTTGCGCGACTTCTGTCAGTTTAAATTAAGATTTAATTCAAATTTTACTCTTGTTACTCACTCGAAATAGAATAACTTTCGTTCTGTTTGATATTTTTGCTTGATATTTGGTAAAGATTTAGAACATTTATCATATATTATGAATTAAAGAAGCAGGAGCTGTGTATCAAATCCCTAGAATTTTACGCCCCATTTCGCCGATCATCCCAGAAAAACCGAAATATTTTTTCTTTCACTCCGGCTTCTTTAATTCTTATGAAGGTTCAAAAACAGTTTATAAAAAAGTTGTTTTTAAGCTCATGTTGTTAAAATCTGAAGAGATATTTACGGTTTTTTTTAAAGTTCTTCAGGATGCCTGTCTTGTTTTCACACCTTAGGTGTGAAATCTGGCACTCTTAAATTAACATTTCGAAAAACAATTTTATATACAAGCTAGTTATCAAGTTCAATTTGGTCTAAAGTGAATACAGTTTGAATAGTTTTTTTTCAAATGACACCCACTTTNTCAAATCAATACAAAGTCGTCAGTTGTTTTGAAATACAACACGAGGAACAAAATGGTCGCCATTTCTGAAGATTTGCGCGACTTCTGTCAGTTTAAATTAAGATTTAATTCAAATTTTACTCTTGTTACTCACTCGAAATAGAATAACTTTCGTTCTGTTTGATATTTTTGCTTGATATTTGGTAAAGATTTAGAACATTTATCATATATTATGAATTAAAGAAGCAGGAGCTGTGTATCAAATCCCTAGAATTTTACGCCCCATTTCGCCGATCATCCCAGAAAAACCGAAATATTTTTTCTTTCACTCCGGCTTCTTTAATTCTTATGAAGGTTCAAAAACAGTTTATAAAAAAGTTGTTTTTAAGCTCATGTTGTTAAAATCTGAAGAGATATTTACGTTTTTTTTTACGTTCTTCAGGATGCCTGTCTTGTTTTCACACCTTAGGTGTGAAATCTGGCACTCTTAAATTAACATTTCGAAAAACAATTTTATATACAAGCTAGTTATCAAGTTCAATTTGGTCTAAAGTGAATACAGTTTGAATAGTTTTTTTTCAAATGACACCCAMTTTTGCCATTCCTAGTACCTTAGTTCATTCCATTAAACACATCTATAGTTTTATTACATTACGTTACATTACGTTACAAGTAAACACCTAAGCACAATGAACATTTTCTGAAATTGAAGAGCTTAGCCTGTTAGGGCAGGTTTCTGCCAATTTACTAGAAGACAACAAACAGTCCACATTTGTTTAACAACACCATTCATGTTCAATGGTAGCACTTGGTTGAAAACATGCCAGCCCTTTACTCTTCGAATAGCACGTTCAACGTGGATTCTCACATTTGCTATTCGCATAGTTTCAAAACAGTCATCTTTTGAAAACTGATCTTGTGAGGATTGTCTTTTTTTGTTTAAACTGTTTTTAATACTGGCCATTCGATGGCAATGTTTGTTTCTATTTTTAAACACTTACATTTTTGGAACACTTACCGTTGGCAATGGTTAATTCTATTTTTAAAATTTGCTTAAAGCACTAAACAATAGAAATGAACAATCCAAGGAAGGAATCGAAAAATTGTTTAGAATACTGGACATTTCATGGCAATGTTCGTTTCTATTTTAAACTGTTTGGAATACAGACCATTTTTTGGCAATGTTCAATTCTTTTGTTAAAATTGTTTAAAGTACTGGCTTTCCGTGGCGATTGTCCATTTCGGCTTTTCAATTTGATTTAGAATACTGACCTTTCGTTACAATAATCAAATGTTTCTGGCAGTGTTTAATTTCCCTCTACCTTGTAACTGCTCAATGAGGGCCAGCCTTTGGCAATGCTTTATTAATACGGTCTTTACTGGTAACGTGTTATTTTTTAAAGCTGTTATTCTTACTTGCCACRAAGGTATACCATTTGCAGGCAACAGTTAAATCCCTGTTCTAAATTGATCTCAACCTGATCAAAAGTTTTCTCTTGTTTGGAGAGATTCAGACACTTTTAAAATGGCTGAAGTGGAGGCTTAGAAACAAAGTAACGCGGCCCAGGATGTAGAAWCAGCCTTTTAAAACCCTTCTGAGACAACAAATCGCCCGGCCACCAGCGTTGTTTGATTCGCATGCCAGCATGGCTGCCCTGGAACTACTGATTGACAGCTGTCGGGCCAATGGGGACCAAAGGCTTACAAGATATAATACCATCTTGAAGCAGATCAGATCCATGGTTGGTCAYCCCTCCCTTCAGAATGTATTCCTCAAACTTGCAGGGTCTAAGAGGAGGTCRAGGTCTCTCTCTTGCWGGCACAAWGGCATTGGYCTTCGCAGACGACACCCTATCAACGTAATAGGGCTACCKGTTTCTTGTGTCACAGKTGTGGGCATATTGCTCGGACATGCCCTAATAGCAACAACGACAACTATAAKTTCAACAGATAATTCTGCCATAGCATGTGTAAGATCTATTAAAGCATGTTTTCTGTGTGGGCTTGTTTTGTTTCTTAATTCAATTTAGTAGTCACTATGTAATAACATTTAAAGAGAATATGTAAAGCCACCTGACTTTATCAGCATCCTACACCATAAGTACACTTTTAGAATAGAGTTGACGCGACATCGATACTCAAGTATATTAAGGCCTGGTTATTACTTAATTTACATAAGAAATAGGTTTTTAAAACCCATTTCTTAAAAGAATTAATCCACTTTACCTATACACTGTAAAAAGAGATCACTTAAAACAAGATCATACAATTACATGAGCCCTAGATTTAAGTCACTAATCACTTATTATGAGATAAACTCCCTTACAATTGTAGAATGTAGAACCTAAACCAAGAAATCACCACTAACTATCAGTCAATGTACGCTAATTTTTAGTAGAACATGTTAATTTCTTGTGATACACACTAAAGTTGAGTGTGCAGCTCTTATATCAAGTTGACGCTTCTCAGCAATATACTAATCTTAAGTGAGCTGCTGAATTGACAACCCTAATTATTAGTCAATGTACACTCATTTTTGGTTGAACATGTTTAATTTTTGTGTTACACCCTAAAATTGAGTGTGCAGCTCTTATATCAAGTTGATGGTTCTCAGCAACATACTAATCTTAAGTGAGCTGCTGAATTGACAGCCCTAATTATTAGTCAATGTACNAGATTATAGGAATGTTTATCATTAAATACTGTCTGATGAGTGCGTAGCACGAAACTCGGAGTAACAGCAAAAATCTTGCCTCTTTGATATTATATATATAATCTGAATTATACGTTCAGGCCGCTTCGCGGCCCTAGTATAATTCTCATTATTAGTCTATGTACACTCATTTTTGGTTGAACATGTTTAATTTTTGTGTTACACCCTAAAATTGAGTGTGCAGCTCTTATATCAAGTTGATGGTTCTCAGCAACATACTAATCTTAAGTGAGCTGCTGAATTGACAGCCCTAATTATTAGTCAATGTACACTCATTTTTAGTTGAACATGTTTAATTTTTGTGTTTCACGCTAAAGTTGAGTGTGCAGCTCTGACATCTAGTTGATCAGCTTTTCAGCAATATACTAATCTTAAGTGAGCTGCTCAATTTAGAACCCCAAATATTAAGCAACTGCCAACTGAAGGATTTCTCATATGTCATATTTGGTTGATATGGAGGATTAACTGAACCTAATTATAACTGAACTGAACAACAATAATTATTCTCATGAAATATGTATTATCTAGTATTTGACCTGTTGTCTATCAGGTTAAAAACATAATTGTCTGGTCCCAAGAAATGACTCAGCAGAACTATAACCTTGACCTCCAAGAATAGTAAAATGGAGAAAATTTTTGTGTGTGATGACATGACATTTTGTTGGTCTGGAAACAAGAATTATTTTTAAAACAAACAATATTATCTTTAGAGGATTTTCATTGTGAAATGAAAAGAATTTTTAATGAAGTAAGAAAATCTTTGACCAGTTCCTTCAACCTTGCAATTGCTTCTAAACTAAAAATACAAATGAGATTTTTGTTATTTCCATTAGAATTTGAAAAAGATTCCAAAATTCATCATCATCTTCTATAAAATCATCCAATAGAAATGGTAAGATGGATGAAAAAATCCACATTTGATCTGCATCTTGCTTAAATTTATAATCACCATTTTTTTATGTTCACTGCAGTGTATTGACATTTGTAGATTTCAGGGTATCTGCACTTAGGCAGGTCAGCGGTAGCATAATAAAAGATGGCGCGAGAAAGCACAATTGTGGGCGTGTAGTTCTGAGTTTAATCTGTGACAATCGAGCTGTTTAGATACGACATCTGGGAGAAATGTGTCAAGATGAGGATGAAACTATCGACCAGTATGAACGAGTTGCAGAACACAGCGAGGACTCTTGAAGCTGTAAGGCGACAGTCCAAAAGCATGAGCAGCGAATCGGCTAATGTCCACGGAATTAGCAGAAAACCAGCCCATATTCAAAGCAAAGGAAGAGGAAAGAGAGACCAACAGTTTAAGCCGAAGGAGAGGAAAGAAGAACAAAAATCTGGCGTGACTTACTGGCGTTATCGATGTGGGAGAGAAGGTCATTTCGCGAGAAACCCCAACTGTCCCGCTATGAATAAGACATGTAACAACTGTAAACAAACTGGACATTTTGCAAGTGTTTTCAAAACAAAGAAAGTTCAAGACAAAGGCAAAGTTAACTTCGTTGAATCGGATGAGGAGGAGGATGCGTTTAGTGCGAAGTCAAAGCATGAATTTGAGAAAGTTGAGGTGACTGTTGGAGGTCAAAAGATTCTAATGATTGCTGACTCCGGTTCAAGCGCAAACATAATTGAAGGAGATGAAGATTGAATGCAGTTCAAAGAAATCTGACAGAAAATTATATGCCTATGGTAGCAGCAAAACACTTGATGTGATTGGAACCTTTACCGCAACAGYMAGCGTTGGAGGATCTACAACCGAAGCTGAATTTATTGTGATTAATGGCCATGGCGAGCCTTTGTTAGGAGGGTCCACAGCCACACAATTGGGAGTA